TATATATATATATATATATATTTGGTTTAGTTTAGAATTTAGTTGCAAAATTTTAATATTTTGGTTAAAGTTCAAAAAATAAATATTAGAAAAATGTTAATTTTATAAATAATGGAAAAAAAAAGCCTTGGTCCTAAATTTGGGCATGAGTTAAAGACAAAATTCTTGAAACCTGAAACCATTAAAGCTGTGGATGCTCCAATAACAACAAAAGAAATCACCTAACATCAATGGCTCATAAAAACAAAACAACAGATTAATAAAACCAAATCCTTCAAAAACAAGCAGAACAAAGCACCTAAATCCAGAAAACAGTGAAGAAGAAGAAGAAGAAGAAGAAGAAGAAGAAGAAGAAGAAGAAGAAGAAGAAGCTAAACAGCATGTTGGAAGAATCCTGGTTGATGAGAATCACAACCAAACTTTCTGCTCCTCCTGAATTACTTCAGTTGGCTCTTCTTCTTCCATAGCTCTCCAAACACCCGAATTCCTCCACCGCTTCCTCTCCTCTTCCCTCCCCCATCCACCTCTTCACCCTCACCTCCGGCGATCACAGGTGACCACCCGCCGCCGCCATAACCTCGAAGATGCTTTTCCATTGATCTGCCGCTCTCACCCAACCCTCTTCCCTTCAACTCTCCGTCATTCACCAAACCATCCCCTGCAACAAGCACCGCCGCCGCAGCCTCCGCCGCCTTGCGCCATTGATCTGTCTGCACTCTTAAGCGCTTCATTTCAGCTTCCATTGACGCTTTCGCAGTTGCATCTGACTCGAACTTCTCTCTCTGGCGCTCAGAAGCCATCTTAGTTTTTTTCAGTTCCTCCTCAGCTTCAGAGAGCTTTGTTGTCACCTCCTCGGCTTTTTCTCTCCACTGTAAGGATTCAACTTTTACATTCTCTGCTTCTTTTATAAGAGCATGATTCTCGGCTACAACGATTTCGAGTTGCTTCTCTTTCTCAACCAGGATTGCTTTCAGCTCGATAAGCTCTAAGCTCTCTACCATGTCTTCGTTCTGCATCTCCTTCTCCAATGCTTTCATTTCCTCTTTCACTTTTTCTTCTTCAGCGATCACCTTTGTCTTAGTTCCCACTGCATCTTCCTCTTCCAGTCCGCTTCCTTCTCCTTCGCTGCTCGCTGGAGCTACTTCGAAGACGTCGGTGGTCTTGCAGTTCACACTGTCTTCTTCTGCGCGCAAAGGCTCGCCTTTTTCCATGAGGACTTCGCCAAGATCAACTTTCTCTTCCTCGACATTTATAGTCTTCTCTTTCTCCTCATCAGCTGGATCTAGAGCTGCGGATTTCAGGGGAGAGACGGGAAAATGCTTCTTTGTGACTTCAAGCTCCTTTACCGCGTCTATCCTCGCCGCCTCCGCCGACGCCAGTTGTTCCTTCACCTTCTCGAGCTCCTCCTGCGCTTGGTCCAGCTTTCTCTCTAGATCCGCTATTCTGGACCCCTTCTTCCTCTGCTAAAACCAAACAGAACACTGAGAGGAAAGTGAGAAAGAGCAGAGGGGAAGATGGTTGAGTACCTCTTGGACAGGACTACGAGGAGAGCGTCGATCTTCAAGCTTCGGGCTGCGAATGGAGATTGCCTCGGAGGAAGCTGTGGGCTTGAGATGGAGTGGAGCGCGAGGGGATTGTCGCTGCTGTGGCATCTCAGATCCTCTGTTTTCACTTCAGAAACATCAGTAAAAATGTAACTTTTTTGCCTTTTCTTCTTAGTCAAACGAGAACCGCATTGCTTACCTTGATTTCGGCATTGGCTTCTGCCGCTCCTCCTCCTCTTCGATTAATATCGGCGTAGTTGCTGCAGAAAATGAAGGAGAAGGAGAACAGCTTCACCAGTTCAAATTTGAGAGAAAATGGGGGCACTGGAAGAGAGAACCGTGCAATAATGAGCAGAGAAAAAAAGGAAGGGGGCCTTATAAAAGGGTCTGTGCGGAAAAAAATGTTACTGCAGCAGAAATTTGATCCTTTCCACTACCCACATGGCCGCTTTCTTTTTCTCTTCTCTGTGTATTGGGAAAATTTTGAATGGGAAAATCTTGAGTGGGAGATCCATTAAAAAAAAATTAATTTGGAGCATTTTGGGGAGTTTATGTTTAAAATTGTTTTCAATAGCTTGGGGGCATCACCTATCAATATAATTTTTTTAATAATATATGATATTATAAATTAATATTAAAAATATTATGTATACTATTATCATTACAAATAAATGATAAAATATATATATATTTATAATATTATTATCACAAATAAATGATAGATTTATACTATATTAATTAATCTTTAGAGGGTTTCAAATTAATTAAAAAAATATAGATGAACAAAATAAGAGAATGAACTATAAAAAAAATTATTTCACAATAAAAAATTATCATAAGTCAGTGTTTTTCGTAGCTTTTTGGGCCCCTAATAACTCTTTTTGTTTATGGGTAATGGCGGTGTATATATTGGATGTGTGCTGAAAAATAACTCTGCATCAGTTGTAGGTGCAACCATGTAATTGCTCTGAAAATTTAAATCCAGATCCCCTCTGTAGATGCGGTGCATTGTAAATCATATGGTGAACCCTCATAAGTCGGTGGTCCTCTTTAGCCAGTGGTTCTTGCATACCCGGTTGGTCATGCATATCTGCAGGGTCCTACAAAGTCGAAGGATCCAACATAGCTGGAGCGGTCAGCAAATATTGATTTCCCAAGATAAGCAGATGATTATGGATATTGATGTTCGTGCGACTTATTCAATGGAGATCCACGTGCTCGGGAAGCTGTAGATCTCCTTGGAGCATCTGCTATTGATCATCTCGCGACAGTGGAACTTGACTGATGTAGACATCATAAGTTGATAAGGGAGACAAATGGTCTTGACTTCTGTTCTATGAGATGGCCTCACCTCGATATCATGTCTCCCCGAATGATTAAATGCAATATAATCAATGTGGATGGACTGTTCCACTCTACATGATAGCTTCAATATCTCATCATACCCTTGTTTCATGGAGCTAGCACTTTTACCACGATTCCCTCCAAAGTTTTATACGATATCTTTACTACGAATAAACTAATCCAATTATACAATTGAAGAATTGCATTCATTATTAGGCATTATAATAAAAGTAATTAACCGCTGCAAATACATATAACAAACGCATACCACTATTCTCTCTCTTGGTGATTGAAGGTAATATGTATCCGACGGCTAAGTAGGGGCCTCCACTAGGTAGAGTGTGCCTAAGATCTGTACCACTGCAAATAATTAGCCAATTTTTATTCTCCGTCTCCTTGCGTCGGGTTTAACTGTATTATACAAGCCTAACGATTATTCAACTTCTCGATATACCTTCGATGATATTGTGTCCAGTCAACTTCAGCTTTACCTCGCCCATTGACTCTTTTAAAACCTCATTCTATAGGCTGAATTGATATTTGTTGAATGCTTGAAAAGTGTCACAAAACATGATCTAGAAGGTGCCACTTAGACACAATTCCAACAAATTATTGAAACACGGGCAATTCAAATATCAATGTCTTGAAAACATATGTCACACACGAAAGCCAAAAATAAATCAAAATATGGTGACCAATTAACCTGCATAAGAATTTTGCAATTTAATTATATTTAAGATAAAAATATGAGAGGAATATGGGATTGAATACAAAGGTTTAGTTTTAAACCTGGCTTTGTCTAATTCTGTCAAGTTCATCTCTGTATATATCTACATTTCCAGAAGACCATGTACGCGGCCACTGTTCATTCTATCTGCATTTTATTTAACTAAATGAGATGAATCCGTTTTTAAGTTTTCCATGTTTATGTATAAAAATAGTTTATTTGGTACCTGAGCGCGAGGGATTTGCCTACTAAACCATGAGGGATCGCAACATGAAGAGTGGGCCTACCAACATGCAAGTGCTTCCAGTACCATGTTTGTATCAAGGGCAAACACCCAAAAGTTGTCTGACGAATAGGCTTAGTAGACAAATTCAATTCTCTATATAAGTGTGTAAGCAATGCACCACCCAAAGAATATCTTCTAAACTTTTCTAAATTTTTCATTAATGTTAAATATTCTGGAAGAAGGAAACATCCTAATATGAGCAATATATAGGCCCTAACATGCCTTAAAAAATTCTAGTGGAGGTAAATCATTGTAAGACTCCTTGTAAAATTGCTAGTAGAGCTAGTGAAGCGATATGATTGTTTGTGCTTCGGAGCATCCCATAAGAAAGTGTGATGTTAATGTGTGCTCTACAATATGATGATAAAGAATAACTTCTCTGGGGAGGTCCCCCAACAATCATCAAAACATCCTAGCCAACTTGGCTAGCACAAATCTGGACCAACAACATTCGACCCTACCAGGGCATTTCCACTAGTCCAATTACCAATAAGTATCTGAACGTCTTGCAAAGTGATAGTCATCTCACCTGAGAAAAATGAATTTTATGTAAGGTTAAAGAATGATAATTAACCTGATAACATGTTCATAGTATTTGAATTTATCTTACCAATTGATAAATGAAACATATTGGTTAAGGGGCACCACCGTTTGACCATCGTTGTTAATAGATGGTGGTCTAATTTAATGTACTGCAAGTGTCTGACACGGTCTATACCTGCAACTCACAATGCATGAATAAAACGTGGGCACTGTATCTTCCACTCTTGTGCCGCTAAAAAATGCTTGGCCATTTTCCTACATAAAATCAGTTATTTTAGTAGTTATAATGAATTAATTCAATTTATAAAAATGTAATGTCTTTTTTAAGACCTGTTTTGGGTTTGTTGCTCGATGAGCTTCACCTAACAGTGAAATACTTGGTGGTGTGTATGTTGTAATGCATTGTTATCCGTCTGAACAGTACGTCTACCACAGCGGCGGTGGCCTCCCAGACATGTTGCCTCAACCATCTCTACATAACAAGTAGAATGCTTATAAATGAAAACTTAAATGTGTGGAGGAAAAATATGAATTAAATTCACAGTATCTTAACATGGAGCTTAATTGTAATATCTTATTCTCCCCTCACAATTCGGCTCGTTTACACCCCTAATCACTACTCTTTCCAAAAAGTTGAAGAAAACATCGTATAGTACCAAATGTACATGTATTAATCATTTAGTATGTTGGTTAGCTCTGCAATGATTAACTGCAAAAATTCGATGTAGGCATAATTTTTTAGCTTAGAGAATAAAGTCATTGTCACAATGTTGAACTAAGGCCAACATGCTTATGTATGAACTCTTTAATCTCATTTATCTTAAAAAAATAATAAATTTCATATTAATAGTAAAGTTATTAAATTGTTTGTTTAATGCAATAAGATCTATATTTATATCAACCATTTATTTTATCAAAAGTAGAAAATGAATCAAATGGATTTTAGCACATCACACATAGCTCATTATATGTTTTAGTAAATATATTATTGGAATCTTAAAATTCTCTTCAAATCAAATAACTCAACTAGTTGATATTACAAATTTATGATCTCTTGAATATGTTACCTCAACTTCCTACACATAAAATATTATCTTTTACACATCATAATTGTATCACCTCAATTACCTTGGCACATCCATCCCCTTATTTTTTTGAAGCCTTTGCTTAAAAAAAGTGCTTAAAAAAAGTTTAATGAAAGTCATGTTTTTTAATATCTTATGATCCATCTTATATGAAATTTCAGCTAGCTAACTTTTTTTTTCCAATATCTATTTCATCAAGTGCAAATAAAATATAATTCAATATTTTATGTAGTCCAATAATACATGGGTTATGCCTCTTGGCTCATTGATTGAATTTCCTTACATTGTTATCTCAAGAATCTCAATAACTAATTCAAATAAAAGAAGCAAATTAATAATTTTCCCATCTTTTGACTCATAACATACATCTCCATCTCATTAAAGAGTAATTTCTTAATCCAACCCTTTATCAGTTGCTAAGACTTTATTTCTAAGTTGTTCGAATAATTTATTAAGATATTTTTCCCTTAAGATAACTATTATTTTGAATAAATTTCTAATAAAACTACACAAATAGAGATTAAGTTGAAAATAAATATAAGTTATAGATGGTTTTTTAACCACGATAATCAATACTAATTGGAGTTGATAGCTAATGACTCAATAAAATTATCATTTATAACCAAACTATTTGTTTCATTGAACTTAATGTGCATGCATAAGAAACTTGATGACAAGGTTATATAATGGTCAACCAATGCTTGGAAAATACACTTCAAATGTGCATTTTAGTGTTCAAGCACTGTCTTCTTAACATGTACAATCTAATAAAAATCTTCAACAACACAACTCATTTTATCAAACATGTACAATCCAATAAAAATCTTCAACAACACAACTCATTTTATCAATAAATCAAAGTGAAATAATTGTTTTTGACTCATATAACTCAAACAAAATCAAATAAAAATACACATAAGTTATCATCTAATTCATTAATGATAATATTCAAAATCTCAATAACAATGTCGTGTAATTTCTTTTTGAAAATAGGGAAAATGAAATAGTTATTTTTAGTATCATTTTAGAGTAATTTTTTTTTTAATTTTGTCATTATAAACAACTAGGAAGTGTAAATATTTGATTATTTTTTTTAGTTTTTTGAGTTATTGTTTTCACCATAACCCTAAAAGTTAAGGAATGGAACAAAAACAAATATGCACAATCAATACTTGTAGTTATATATGCTCAATAATATATATGAACTTAATCGGAAGATCTTATATAATTAAATCTAATGTGTTGACCATGATTCATGAACTTATTGTACATTTTTCAAGCAATACTATTAACTTTATTAGCTTGACCAATATGATTCGAAATTTCAGTTTTTAAATTCCTTGGGGTTAAAATGATCACAACACATTTGATTTTAAAAAATCAAGTCTATAATGGTAACAATAAAAACAATATGTAAAATCTTTTGTAACACTATTTTTCA